GCTAAAACTTTTACCAATAATTTTACCGCAAATTATCGTACGATCATGATTTTATCCAATAATTTTAATGCAAATCATCGTATGATAGGCTCATTGATGGCCTAACCACAAACATCAAATACATTCTAACCTTGATACTAAAAAGTATACTAATACCAATCATTTTAGTGCAAATAATCATACGATTAGGTTACATTGACAGTCTAACCGCAATGCTGAAACGCTACCAATAATTTCAATGCAATTCATGAATCCAAATTCAAACAACGAAACCGTCGAAATGCAAACATCAAATACATTCTAACCATGATACTAAAAAGTATACCAATCATTTTAGTGCAAATCATCATATGATTAGATGCACACACAGTATCTAACCGTAAACTGCTAAAGTTACTGTCGATATCCAATGATTTTAAGCAAATTAGATCTACACTTAACAAACAAAATCGCGTTCGATCATATGGGTTTTTTGTATGTCTAAATTATATAAATCAACGTTTACAATACATAATTTCAATCGCATTACTTAATAGGAAGGTGTATTAGTAATCGTAATGTTATAATAAACCAGGAAGACTTTTGGAAAGTGCACTTACAAACATAAAAATACTATCATGGAATACTCATTTCTTTCACGCGAAAAATTTAATCAAATTGTTGAGAAACATATCGAGAATCTGTCGAAATCCGACAAGAGCATAGTTACGGAAGAAATGGCACAACGACTCATTTATCTTGTTGAGAATAATTTTGAAGATACGTCTGCTGACCATAACACAATTAGATGGGCGCGAAATTTCACAGTCCGAAATTTTAACGGAAGAAGATACTTATACAAAAAAATAAGCAAAAAACCATCAGCAAGTAGAAGTCCGTGTTTGTCTAAAGGAGGAGATGTATTCAATCTTTTGTCGTATCCATAACGGTGATATGGGAGAAGGTCATGGAGGCCAGAATGCGACATGGATTGCTCTCAACGCGCAATACTGTTGCTTTCCTCAGAATATATGCAACCAGCAAGCAGGACCCCATAAACATTTAAAGAGGAAACGGCCAGGAGGAAATCGCATGAAAGCGGGTAATTTCTTTGGAATAATTTCCCAGATTTAAGAAATAATATTAATAAACTTGACACATGTAAGGCATGTTCAGTCTGCTGCTCAACCACAGCCATTAGGAAAACTCCAGAAGGAAAACCTATAATCTCTGCTCGATTTCTTCAACATGTACAGGTAATGTTAGTTAATTTTGTAATTATTAATGAGTTAAATTGTTTACGTTTCTATTGATGTAGGTTGATATTATCGTATCATAATGAAATGTATGCGGAGAGAATAGTAAAGAATATAGATGTAATTTAGCAACGAAATGCCAGCTTGCGTTTCAGTATACTGTATTGTAGGAAGAGTCT